TTTTTTTTTTCTCATTCTCTTCCTCTTTTGATTAACTTAAGCTTTATAAATTTCACTTTCTCCTATTTTACATGTCTAAGTAGGGCATCTTAATATTGGGATTTATGAACATTTTTTGTATTTCTTCTCTCTGTTGAAGTATAAATTATTAAATTTTGAGTCTTTAATAGTGTAGATGATGAGATTAATATTCAACCATGTTAAATATGATATTCAAGACAATTATGATTGTAATAAATAGATAAATTATTAATCAATATGAAATGATATTATATTATTAACTTATTAACCCGGTTAGCGCTTGAGGGCTCCTATTCGAATTATTTTTAAAATTTTTGTGAATGGCCCCCTTTAATGTGAAATCCTAACTCCGCCACTGCATGGCAGGCATGCAGATGAGGTAGGCCTCCTCTCGTAAGTCTCTACTTTGTGGGTCCTCACAGTGATATTTGGAATTGGAGGTTTGGTGGGGGCAGAAAAGGACGCAACTTTTTCGACTTTCAAGTTCTGATCCAAAAAATTGTCATTCTACTTGAAACTTAAGGACTTGTGTGTGTGGTGTCCAGAATTGGATTTGGACTTTGGAGAGAGAACAAAATTAGCAAACTCGGATCCCGACACCGGGACTCCGGCCCAAAATCAGGTTTCGGATTTGTACTCTACTTTATCTATCTTAAGGGACTCGAATCCAAAATTAATTGACAATGATGAAAAAAAATCCGTATCATATGTTTTGTAATGCGAAAGCTTCACTTTTCCGAGAAGATATTTTCGATGTGCTTGGACTTCGAATTCCAACCCTAAATCTAAAATTATAAAAATTTATTGAATACGATCAATATAAAATGAAGATTAATTTTTACTAAATCAAATGATCTTTTGCGAATAATGCATGATGGATGGCATGTATGACACATGTTTCCTCATAAAACCAAAAATATGGTACAACTACAACATACTTTCCGGCTAATAAATTTGCATGTGTTTCCTTCAATAAACGCTTAAGTATTTGATTTAAGCCAAGAGTTTGATGAGATATTGTCCCAAAGCGACAAAGGGAAGAATCACATCACAATTAAGTTGACTTAGCAAGTACCTTTTTTCGTATTTGTCATCACATTTAGATTTCTAGAATACTACCACATAGGTGCTCACACGTGGATGATTTCCGGCTGTTGACACTCGTTATTGTGGATGCATGTAAAATTATCGTCAATTGGTAAGCGAGTGATTGTCATGAAACAATGTTATTGAGATTTTAGAGAATAGATTTTAAACCCTAAATTGTAGATTTTAGACTAAATTATATATATTTTTAAATTTGGTCTTTGGGTCAAATAATTTGTGTAAATTGTACACATGATCAGTTGTAGAGTACAGTTGGTTTCTGAGTTGGGAAGCCATGTATTTAACAGTGTGTGTGAGGTTGGGGTTGCTTAAAGGTGACCGACAGTGACAAATATCATCAGAACTCTGAACTCTCTCCCCCACACCATTCCATGAACACATGAATACATGAATTATCAATGTTCTGGTCAGAAGAGAGGGAGAGAGCCAAAAAACAAAAGCAATTAAAAAAGAGAGAGGGACTCCTGGGGTTAGGGGAAGCAGGCATGTGGATGAGTGGGGGACACACCAAACTCATCAATTGAAACCCTTTGAAATTATTGAGTTTCTGACATTCAAAAAACCAATAAATAAAAAAAGCATAGCAAACAAACACACACCCGACCCAGTTGCCTCTCTCTCTCTCTCTCTCTCTCTCTCTCTCTCTCTCTTCTACTGCTCACTTGAAATCTTGGTGGAACTGCTGCATTTTGGGTCAGTGTCTTGAAAAGAAAAGTCTTTGAGGGAGTCACAGTGAAGAAGAAAGAAAGCACAGACAGAAGCTGCCTCAAGTTCACAACTTTTTTCATTAGAGCCCAATTGGAGTTAAAGAAGTTTGCTTCTCTCTCTCTCTCTCTCTCTCTCTCTCTCTCTCTCTGTGAATTGGTGAGGATGCCAAGATCAGGCCCAAGACCATATGAGTGTGTTAGAAGAGCTTGGCATAGTGAGAGACACCAACCCATGAGAGGTTCTCTCATTAAAGAAATTTTCAGGTTCCCCACTCTCATCTCAACTCTAAATTTGCATGTCTATTTTTGCTTTTTGTATTTTTTGTTTTTTGGGTTTTGGGTGGGTTTTGAAATGTTGAACTTTACATTTGTGCATATGTCTATTTGTCTCTAAATAGTAATCACTTATGTGTTTTGCTCAGGGTTGTGAATGAGATCCATAGCTCAGCTACCAGGAAGAACAAAGAATGGCAAGATAAGCTCCCTATTGTTGTCTTGAAAGCAGAAGAAATTATGTACTCCAAAGCAAATTCTGAGGTAGTCTTTTACTCTTTTCCTGCTCTTATCTCAACCAAAATTGCTTACCCTTATTCTAGATGCTAATGAGTATTGATTTTAAGAATTCAATTTTGCCTTTTCTATTTTCTACATTTTTTAGTAGCAGAACAGAGCTGCGGTGTATATTGCTGAAGTTTTACTTATTCGGCTCTTGTAAAGTTTTGTGCTTTGGAACTCTGTTCTTTTATAGGCTGAATACATGGACCTTAAAACCCTTTGGGACCGAACAAATGATGCTATTAACACGATAATTCGGCGTGATGAGGGTACTGAAACTGGAGACTTTCTTCAGCCTTGTATTGAAGGTAGCTAAAACAGTTTTGACTTCACTTTTTTCTGGTTGAATCTGTTTGCAAATTTGGGCCACAGAGCTGCGGTGTATATTGCTGAAGTTTTACTTATTCGGCTCTTGTAAAGTTTTGTGCTTTGGAACTCTGTTCTTTTATAGGCTGAATACATGGACCTTAAAACCCTTTGGGACCGAACAAATGATGCTATTAACACGATAATTCGGCGTGATGAGGGTACTGAAACTGGAGACTTTCTTCAGCCTTGTATTGAAGGTAGCTAAAACAGTTTTGACTTCACTTTTTTCTGGTTCAATCTGTTTGCAAATTTGGGCCAGAATCAGTCTCTGGATATCTGCATCTGTGTTTTCATCATTGTTAATAAAATTTTGGATGAGACATAAATTCTTGATATTGTTTAGTATTTTCTTGGTTGTTATCCATGTATAAGACTACTAATTTTAATTGTACATTTTCTTTCTGTGTTAACTCTTAATTTTTCATATAACAACCCAGCTGCTCTCAATTTGGGGTGCATACCAAGAAGAACTTCGAGGAGTCAACGACATACTAATCCACGGTGTTATCTGATTCCCATCACTTCCGATGTCCCTAGCATTTCTCCTAGCGTAGTAGAGAATGCTAGTCAGAGGGATTACACATCCAATTCACAGTTTAGGCCTCATTGTCCAAATTTTGTGAAACCCAAAAGTATGACAACCCATCTTGGCTTTGAATCTTCTAGATTCCCTGTTGTCCAAAATAATGACTGCACTACTATGAAATTCAGCATTGCTTCCGAAAATATTCCTCCTTCGGGTTATGACCAATTCTCCCCTAGGGAAAGTAAGGCAACATCTAACTTTTCTTCATACCCTCTGCACTATGCAAATTTTCCTCAGTTTGAAGAACTCAAGCCTGGTTTTCTTATCCTTCCTAAACCAGTTTCTGACCCAATAGAACCTGCCAAGATGGGAGTTATTTCCAATTTGCTCTGTAATGGAGATAAATCAAATGACAATACACAAACAGATACCAGGGACAACACCGAGAACCCATGTACGGTTGGGTGTGATTTGTCTCTGCGGTTAGGCCCACTGTCTACTCAATACTCAATCGGTGAAAACAGCCAGCCTGAAGAGGTCAAAGATGTTGATGCTCAGGAAGGGACCATGTGCAGTGATCAGTCACAACCACAATTCGATAGACGACCCTCTTTCATTGGTAAGGGTAATGAATATGGCCCAAGAGACTCGTATTCAAGTAGGTTGAATTTTGAAGGTGAATATGTGAATGTACAAGCGACAATGAGAAAGCGAAAGGCAGCTTTCAATCACCCAACAGGGGATACCAAATTTTATAGGCAGCCAGAGCTTCCTTTTAGTCACTTGACTGGAAGTATGAGAAATGGAGGTTTGTAGACTGACTCCTGCTTTAGTAAAGTTAGTTGCTTCGAGATCTTGATGTCGGCTTAGTGATTATGTACTGCCAAAAGCTTCTTTTTGCAATCTTGATGTACGTCCTAGCTACAATTACATGGTAATGAACTGAGCTGCTCTTGCAGTGTTGTAAGACATGAAATGTAAATAGTGAATCTGAGATTAGATTAGATGAGGGAATGGACTTCG